CAGATTTTATTTAACTTTCCTTAAAAGTGAACATTTTGGTTTTTAATTTTTTGATACTATAAAATTGTGATAAACATTTTTCTGTATAAACCTTGGTTTTAATTTGAATTATTTCCTGAGAGTAGATTACTAGTAGGTGATTTACTGGCTCAAAGGTTCTGACCATTTTACTAGCTTTGATATTTCTTACCAAATTGCTTTCTAGACAGGAAGTATCAATTCCATGTCATCTTCATTGTGCAAGAGTGTCTTCTCATGTGCCCTCTCTAAACAAACTTTAACATGTATGCCATGTGCCATACAACAGCAGAGGAAAACACTTGAAAAAAATTTATCAGTTTGAACACTTTTACCAACACAGACTATTTCCTTCCCTCCCTAAGGCTGCCTTTAAATTTTCTAAGTTGTGACTGTGGCAAAAGAACTGTGCTCTTTGTCTCGATATATGTATCCACGTGCATTATATAAATGAATAGGGAAAGAGTGGTGACTGTATAAGAATTACACTCTAGTTAATGAAATTGACAGCTGGCTGAAATTACCATAAGACAGGTAAATGTTATCACTTTTAAATATTTTTACATCCAAAAAGAGAACGGGAGAACTTCTTTCATCTATACAGGCCCAAAATGAGTACAATAAATATATTTTACAGTTTTGTAGTGAGTACAGGTTGATTACATAAGAGTTATATATAAACTATTATCTGTCATTTCTTAATTTCTGAAACATTTCACCAAGTTTTCAAGTGATAGGAATATCATTTACATCAGAGTGAAAACAACTTAATATCAAACCCTTAGTCTATTGAATTTTGTCAAATGAGAGGCCTTTATAAGCAGGAGTTGACCAACTATGGCTTGTGGGCCAATTTTGGTGCACTGCCTATTTTTGAATAGCCTTTGAGCTAAGTATGGTTTTTACATTTTTAAATGGTTAACAAAAAGCAAAAGAATATTTCGTGATGTGTGAAAATTATTGAAATCCAAATTTTATTGTCTATAGATAAAGTTTTATTGGAACACAACCATGCTCATTCACTATGGCTGCTTTTGTGCAGGGTTGAGTAGCTGCAACAGACTGTAAATGCCTGAAAGCCTAAAATGTTTACTGTCTGGCACTACACGGAAAAAGCTTGCCAACCTCTGACTTAGAGTAATGTATGATTTATATTTTCTTCACTAAATCTGATTAACTTTAATGAATATTTCCCAGATACTCTGCTCCTCTCAAAATTCATTCTTACCTTTTTATTAATTCTTACCGTCTTAATTTGCATTTTTAAATATCTGCCATTTTTCACTAGATTATGAAACTTTCTATTATATCCATTTTGGAGCCATATTTTATTATTTTCAATAGCTCTGTCTAGAGCCCATTTTCACCTTGCTTGATGATTTGATTATTAAAATTAAGTCACTGATAGTTGGAATTCTGTGATTCTAAAAGAACTGCATAATCTATAAATTGTACATATTTTGTGGGTAAAAACAAATGTAATTCCTTACATACAAGGTAGAGGCATTCCTATTCCAAGCACTTGAATTAGCCAACAGTGCTCTCTATTAAGCAGAAAAGGGAGTTAACTTGAACAGCCTATACACAAATCCTACTAGTTGATGGAAGTGTCTCTATATTCGGTTTGGCTAAATTAAACAAAGCTTCCCTTGATTCTGAGCTGCACATACTGCCGAAATTCTGGGGAAAGATTCCATAAACTCACATTTCTAGTTCTGACGCTCAACTTTACATAATGTGAAGCACTTCTCTGAAGACCAATCCCTTGCTGGTCTCATCCAACCTGATCTGAAGTCTACTGAATTGGGATATTTAAGAGCCCTTTGTGGTGGCATATAAGAATGTGCAGCTGAATATGTTCAATTATTCCCTAGGAAATAGTTTTGTTCTTCCTTTGTTTGTTTAGGCAAGCAACTGTTGTGGGATATCCAACATTTTAAGTGATTCTGCCTCAGAGCATGTGTTAGAAACTATAAGGAGAGTTTATAACTTTTCATTTCTAAAAGGTTTTACAGCTTTGGATTTCTGGAATTGTTTGTGTCCATGTTTCTTCCCATCCTGTTGGGACTTGCTGTTGTTAGCAACGTCCTGTGTGGCTCTAAGATATGCTGACCTCTTTGAAACCTTTCCAGGTGTCATTGCCGCTTTCTTGATCTCCGCAATATAAGCTGCATTGTTTAATGGACTTACATTCTATGAACTTTAGAAATCCTCCCTGAGACTATGAATTGACTAACACCCAAGGTAGCATAACGTGCAGACACAAATGTTCCTAAAACCACGCCTGCTGGGCAATGCAGGATGTGACTTGGAGTCTGGAAAAAGGAACAGTTTGCTCACTTGTGAGTCTGTGACTACCGCCAGGTGCAGTTTGAAGCTAAGTGGCTAGTTTTTCTGATCCTCAGATGTAACCTCTCATTAGAACACAGCAGAATCCATGATTGTGGAGGTAAAGAATTCCATGAAGACCCTCTGGGCCCATTCAGACTTCTGGCTTCAGGGGGTCCTAAAACACACTTCCTTCAGCATACACAGCCATAGCGAAGAGACACTGTTTTTTACAAATTTGATCTGAGTTTAGCCTAAGATTATAATGACAACAGCTCATCTTAAAATTTGTATCCAGAGGATGTAGTTACAAATTAAAAAAAAAAAAAAGCTTAATAGAAACTTGTCTTATGTCTCTAACCTGTCATTAAAAGATTTTGTTTTTGGTAGCACAGTTAAGGCTTGCAAGGGTTTGTACTTGGACTAAGACTCCCATATTAGTCTAGTTTTAAATGTGGAGTATTATATTGGGTTGTTGGAAAAGTCATGATGCATTTTTACAACGAAAAACAGAAAAAATACGTCATGACTTTTCCGACAACCCAATACTAGTGATTTCTCAGCCCTTCTCTTAAAACCTCACAGCTTGGCTATTCTAACAGACAAATCATGCTGCCAAAACCTGGCAGAGCTGACAACATTGTGAAAATAACAGTCTATTGAGAATCAAAACATATGGGATTTTAACCCTACCACTCACTGTCTTAGCTCAATATTTCTATTTGTCTCCTTGTCTATAAAATATGCATTACAAATAACACAAACCACACAGGGGTACTGTGAAAATAAAACTAGTAATAAATACAAAAACAAGAACCACAAGAACAAAAACAAACACCTTTAAAAAGTGCAAAGGAGTTTAATATGAGAGGTGTGGTGGCAGTGGTCGTTCTTTTTTCCTGTCCATTTCCTTCTCACCCAGACACTGTATGTCGTATGCCCGTAACATGAAGACTGCTGCTCCTGCACACCCCTGAGCCAGCTGTTCTGAAGATCACCCTTTCTATCCTGGCTCCGGTGTCCAGGGAATCTTAAGGGTCATTGAGGGCCATGATAGTCTATGCATCTTAAATGACTGTGAGGGGAAGTAAGCTTCCTCTGCTTTGCTTTCTATTGGCTAAGCCTGTAGCTTGTTGTGTGTGAATGGGACAGTGTACGATTACCCATCACTGCAGCTTTTCAGAGGCTTCGTTACTGCCACTACTAGTTCATTGCTGGGAATGCAATTACCATGGAGACCTTCCAAAAATCTAAAAGGCTATACAACAAGTATGACCTGGGTTGTCTCTGGGTGGTTGGAATTATAGGAGGTCATTTTTAAATTTGGTCTAGATATGTGTATGTTCTCATTTTTGCAATTAATAAGAAAAAAACAACAGAAAGAAACTTAATTTTGAACAAAACAACAAACAAACTGCCCTTTAACTATGTTATAATAGGCGAACAACCAAACGACTTAAAAACTCTTCAACATGGAAATTTCTCAAGAGAAAAATTTGAAAATAAGGGCATGTCACTCACTCTAAAAATATGAGTGCAATATCATATCATATGAAAAATATTTGTAAGAACTTTTATTATAAAGAATTTCTGTAGTTTTAAGATCTTGTCAAATTAACAAATTAAATAAATATACTTAAATAAGAAGAATTGCACTGTATCTACTTGTCCAAATTTTATACTAATAGTGTGGCAAGTAAGAAATCAGAATCTAGTACTGGAAAAAAAAAAGGCAAGAGGGAGGAGCCTGAGGGTACAACATATTCTGAAGTTGGTCTATAGAAGCTGGTCCCAGATGGGAAAACTGGTTCTCTAATCTAATGATTTTCTTTTAATCACAAGCAGACAGTAGTTTCCTTATTACCCAGAGTTTTAGAAATACATTATTCTTGAGAGTACTTCCTAGGATTTCTTTTACTCATTTAAGACCACATCTTTGTATTTAATTCTTCCTCATATTATCCCTGCAGGGCACATCCCTCTAATTATTCCCATCTAAAATGACAGGAAAATGGAATTATACTACTTGAAAAACAGACATCCTTTGGTATGTCTTTTCTCAGTGCTCCCTTGGGTATATTTTGTCATTGTGCTCACTTTATCACAGATCCTGAGCTGTCCGTGGAGGGCAAGGACTGTCTTTGAATTCCCAGTGCCTACTACATACCTGGCACACAGTAAAAATCTGAATAAACAATGAATAATAATACCAACAAATAATGCTTACAGTTTATCAAGCACTGTTTTAGTGCCTTATACATACTAACTTATTTATTTTTTTAGTCCTTACAATCCTATGAAACAGGTACCATTATTATCATCCCCATTTTACATATGAGAAAACTGAAGCATGGAAAGTAAAGCAAGGTTACACAGAGCCAGGATCCAAACCTAGGTACTCTGGCTCTAGAGTCCAATTTCGTAATCACCACACCATGCTGCCTCAACAGCACCCATGCTAAACTGGAGAGGGGTTAGCATGGGTGCACTGTGCTCCCATCTCAAAACATTTCTGTTTCCGTCAGATGTAGCTCCATGGTGTGGCTTCTTGGGCAACTTAAAAAGGGAAATAACTGGACACAGGCACACAAAACAGAATAAATGAATCCCCAACCTTAACAATTGCTGTGTTTGTAAAGCTGTTTCTCAAATACCTGTGGGGATTTGTGAGAGCGCCAGCTGTACTGGTGACTATGGAGGCTCGCCAGCAGAATATTTTCGTCAGTATCCACCTGGCCAAACCGCAGTGTCTCCTGTGTGTCATTACAGATCACAAAATGGCTGAAGACCAACTCCTCTACCTCAGGGCATTTGTTCTGAAAGAAAAAGAATCCGAAAGCCAACGTGCATCAGATTAATTGCAAGATGTTTGGCAGTTGTCTGCCCAGTGGCGATTGTTACAACACAGAAACACTAAAAGATCTGCTGTCATTAGCTCTGGTATACAAAGTATTCTATACTTCCAGGATAAGCACAAAAAATACCTAAAAGATCTTAAATGTTCCAAAAATATGTTTTGATTTATATTCCTGCAAAATAAATCATAGACACAGAAGAAAAAACAATGAGATCCCCCAAACTTTTAACATTTTAAAATGAATTAACATGCTACAATGAATGCTGTACTGGGTAGTGCACGTTTTGAGTCGAGTACTGGAGGCTAGAATTACCACGTTCCTGGCCTTCTAAACTCAATAATCAAGACCAATTACAAAGCCACAGTTTGTACCCCACAGAAAGTAAGGATCTTTTAGGTAATATATCCCCAGATTGCTGAAGAGGGCGGGTGGATGTGTGTGTGTGTGTAAATCTGCTCAGGGAGAGATGTAAATAAAACCATAACTTTCCCTCTATTGTTAAGAGGCTGAACACACAAAACAGATCAATTCCAGAGTCAGGGTAAGCCGGGTTGTAGTTTTCAAGAGAAATAATGTTACTTGAAAAACAGTTGTTAGTGTCTGTTTCAACTAACAGTCTTCAATCAGTTAATGTACTTCCATTAATCTGTTAAGGCTCAACAAATTAGTAACATGGTCCAGTGTTGATACTCCTTCTAACTTAATGGCGTCTCCGCTGGTTGCTGTTATATCAAAACACTGACAAAGTGAAAGAGCATTTCTGTTCTTACTCTCATCACTGTGGTTAGATTATGGCTTAATAAACAATAAACATACTTTTGGTAAATGAGAAGAATAGCTAAATAAATGACTAACTTGAGAATGCAAGAAAAAAAATCTTAATTAGCCAGGCAATTTGCAGACAATGGGAGGTAATATGTAACTGATGCTTCTCCTGTTGGCATCTATTTCCTGGCTGGGGATGTAAATAATGTCACAATGCCACATTCCATCATTTGCCATTTTACTGAGGAGAGAGAGGAAAAGGGGATACATCACTCATGAGCATAGTGATTTAAGTGATTATGAGGCCTGAAGCCAAGAAGTCTCTGGGTAAATGCACCTGAATCCAGCCTGGACCAAGACCCAACCTAGCACCTTATCGAGAACAGTTACCTTGGGAGGTAGAATTCATTCCTAGTCACCCAGAAGGCCTTCCAAAGTGGGCAGGCAGTGCTCTATGGCTGCAGTTGGTGAAGATGCCTGACACACTTCATTCTTCCAGATACCCTGAGGACTGCTAGGCCTTCGCTCTATCATCCACCTGTTCTCCTCAAACCTCTCCATTCACACGGAGTAGAACCTTGCTGGACAGCCACAGGAACCACAAAAAGAGCCTAGCTAAGTAAGACCAAAGCAACTACAGCCACAGTTCTCTGCTGTCTACCATAATACTCTCTGCTTGGGCATTTAATCACAAGCTATGATCCCAGAGCCTGACTGCCATCGGGTCCGAGCTGTGCGGACCCCACGGCACCTGGAGCCTGTCTCCATCACTCCCCACACTCAGCTCTGCCAGCCCGCTTCAGTTTCTCCCCTACTGTACCGGCCCCTTTCTATTCACCCAACACATCAAACTCCTTCCTGCCTGGGTGCCTGTCCTCTGCTTACACCTCTTTTCCTCCCTGCCTAACTTCTTTCTACTCAGCCTTCAGGTTCCTGCTCAGAGCAGTCTTCTGAGATCCTCTCCGGACCAGATTATGTCCCCTTCTTTTATGCTCACACAATACCCTACATTTCACCTTCACAGCATTTATCTCTACTGGGACTGAGTAATCATCTGTATGATTATGGGTTCAATAATGTCTCCATTATTAGATTCCATACTGCATAAGGGCTGAAGCCAGGTCTGTGTTATTTGTAACTATCTCCAGAACTCAGCGTGATGCCTGACACATAAATACCCAATAAACGCTTATGAAACTAATACATAGGTTTAATTTTTAAAATTGCAAATGTACTAAATGCTCACAGTAGAAAAATTAGAAAACAGAGAAAGTACAGATTCTATTTTGTAAAAGGCTTTAATTTTACACTCAGAGATAACCGCTATTACATTTTGGTGAATTTTCTTCTAAGGATTTTTCTCTTCGGAGTGCCCCGCCGGTTCCTATTCCAGTTTGTCCTATCCAAACCTACTTTATATATCTTATATATTTAAAGGCTTCTAAACCTTTAATCAAACTGAAGTCACAGTATATAATTAGTTGTGATGATTTTTCCAGTTAGCTTTACATAATCAACACAAACTACTCTCCTTATAAGCATTTTTCTCTCCTTTAGGTTCAAGAGTCCAAACATGAGGTATGATTCTAAACTCCCACTTAGATAGACATCCTGAGATTGAAATTCAGTTCTCATAATGAATTAGGATCACTCTGCTGGTAACAGAGGTTAAATTACCCGATGGGGTTTGAGTAGAAAATAAAATCATATTACTTTCCTCATTTCTACAAACTGACCTTTAATAAATGATGAGGGTTTTAGGAAAAAATGTAAATGAAAGAACACAAGGGGGTTGTTTACATTTTTCTAAAGAATATTCTAAGTCCTTAGGGAACTCTTTCTCTACTGGTCCTTCATCTGTGGAGTTCACTATAACTGTAATAAGTTTAAGCATTTATTGGAATGTTTTAAATTCTGGTATATTATAAAAAAGGTTGTACACATTTTATATGACATCATATAAGCTAAAAACTTCAGAATGCTTACTCAGACTTATAATTAAAAGATGGCTTGTTTACATTTAAAATTTGTGCTGGAGTGTGGTGCAGGCATTTGCAATTAAACAGAGATACCTGTTTTGGTATAAGATAAGACACATGAGCATAACTTTGATTTTTAAATAAGACCCCCTTTAAATGCTATTTTGTCCAAACTTGAGAATGTGACGTAAAAATAAAAAGCAAACTGCAAGTAGCATTTTGGGTCCTTAATCTGGTTTCACAAAACATTAATCATTTACAACAACCACAACAAAAAAATCTACAGCCAGAAAAATCAGACACTGATGAAGACTTCTGTTAATCTTGAACTTGTGACCTAAAGGTGAAAGGCCAAATTGTTTCATGCTTCATCTGTCTGGTCCATCTACACTGGATACAAATGACTTGTCTTGGATATGAATACGATAACAGGTATGTGGAGAACCCAAATAACTTATCCTGCTTCTTAAATTCTTATTTATCACTGGCAACAATTATACTATATATGAGCATTATACACACAATAAAATCCAAGCTTGGGAAACTAAGCTTCCCCCCTAAAAGGGGATAAACCACATTCAGAATATTTTAGAAACAATGAACTTAATAACCCTTTATAAGCCCATTTCAATGTCATATGTCCTATAATTTCAAAGGAGAACATTTTTGTATTTACTTTAGAATACACACGGTTAGATGCCTACTACATTAAAACTTGGTGGCAAGTACCCTTGACATGGGAGGAAACAAGAAAATTACAGCAACAATTACAGAAGTATATCCTCTTGTGGCTCATGTTAACATTGCCAAATCCCTGTATAAATCAGAACCAACTATTCATAGAATGTACCTGTCAGCAATATGCTACGTGACATATGGCTCTACTTAATCAAATATACAATTCCATTTTTAAAAAAACCTCAAAATATTCCTTTTAAGACACTGTGTTAGCCAGTCATTCACACTCTGATGTGGTTTAAAACATTTAAATATTTATGCAATGTATTTTATTTGTATGTATAGCTGTGTCTAAGAGAATATTTTTACCCTGGGAGGAAACTGATATTTCTGAAGGCCATTTTGCAGTAGTTGCTACACATGAGTCCTCTTATAATGGCCCTGATACCAGGACAAAAATATCCTGGGTCTAAATGCTATATCAATGACTCTTTTATATTTTCTAGGTTTGTTTTTTATTAAATGCATTGTTCAAAATATGACAAAAAACAGAAATTGGAGCCATGGAGGTTTTTTTCACATCGCTATTCGAACCAGCTGCAAAGATTTAGATCACACTAGCTCTTATTTTACGCATGTCCTCCGCAACAAGAAAACCATGGAATGCCCTTAAAAAAGAATTTTAAAATATAAAACAGATGTGTTATCTTCTTTCCTTTTGCTATTGTAGTGCCATGTTAGGTAATTAATTCCTCAGTCTTGTATAGGTCTTCATGCATATAAAGAAAAGTTTATTCCCGTAAAAATTCTTAAGTTAGAGAACTCAACCCCTCCCACCCCCCGCCACTGCTCCTGTCCCCACATGAGGTCAGTGCAGGATGAAGGACCATTTCTCTTGGGGAGCCAAGTCCACACAAATGCATGTAACATATACAAAATGTGGGGAAATGTCTCAGCTTAAATAGCAACACAAACTTTATGGAAATACAATATTATACTAAAAATCAGTAAGGGAAGCAGAAGTAACTTGTGTTTAAAAATCACTGAGCATATTATTATCCAAACATTCTGTGAAATTATTTTCACGCTAGTGAACATGGACAGTTTTTCTATTTGAAATATGCTGTTCAGCATAGACTTTATACTTCATCCTTTTTTTGATATGACTAATTTCTGACAAGAGATAAAAGTAAAAAATTATCCATAAAAAATCTGATTATAAAAATCCACAATCAAGTACTTTTAGTGATTCGAAATGGCAGAATGATAGTAGGAGAAAGACTAAGACCATCTTGGGCTCATATATTTCCTCTCACTGCATTTTTTCTTTGAAAAGACAGAATGCTTATTATCAGAAAGGCTCACACAGGTTCTTCATTTCTGCAATGGATGCTTAGACAATCTGATACATAGCTAAGTTGAAGCACTGGCAAACTAAAGCCAGAATACTTGGAAAACATTTCTGGGAATATGTTACTTTCCACACAGATGTGGTACATTAGTCACAAAAATGTGGGCATGATCTCCGATGCATGTGTAGAGAACCATATTCTCCAAAGTTTTAAAAAATAACACGCATCACTTTGCCAAAACAGAGAAGGTCCCAAATATTATGGTGCCCATCAAATTCTTCATTCTCTCACACTTTGGTTTGTGCTTAGCTTACTATTAGAAGCGATAACATAGAGTGCCTAGTAAAAGATCACATGTGGACAAACTGTAAACTGTTCTAGAATGTGCATACCTGTTGCCAAGCTTGTAGTGCAGTGTTTAGAGAATGAACTGCATGTTGCCCAAAGTTTATAAATATAGAATCAACTACGATGGTGCTGTCAAGCAGCTTTTCTACTGCATCGCTGGAAACTGCAATCTGTCCAAAGATACTGAAGGGCTTCACCACGCTTTGCATTGTAACATTCCTGCACTCTAGAAGTTTACAGTCCGCTTGAGCTGAGAACTGGATCTCTTGACAGACAGAACTATTGCTCCACTGTCGAAGATACATGTGTGGTTCTTTGAAGGAAATAATCATGTATTCTAGCTCAGATGGCACATTTTTATCAGAAACAAATGGCTGTAGGTATTTTGGTGAAGCTGTTGGGAAAACAAACAAGAAAAACAGCAACTGAGATGAGCCAATACTTGATGGAAATAAAGAGATGACATTTAAATTATTCACTTTTTGGTTTTTGGATTCAATATTTACTGTTTAGTAAATTTAAACATTCTCTTGATATTACAATATATAAATTATCATTTGATATTTACAAACAAAACTGGTCTGTTCAATCAGCAGGTCTCTTAAATACATATTGTTCAAAGGTTACATTCACTTTCACAGACAAAAATTTGATGACAGAAGACAACAAATACAATGAAGAGGATGTAAATATCTAAGGGGAATTTTTGTAGAAGTGCTCTGTGTCTATAAACCAAATCTCAAAAACAAAAACATGACTCAAAGAGAGTTAGAAAAATCAGGTTAAACTCCATTTTTGCTGAAAAGACAAGATGCTTAACAACAGCTGTATTTAGCTTTAATCTGCTTTTTTTCCAATTTCCAGTACATGTAGGTTGAAAACCTAATACCGGGTTCAAAATGTATTAACTAGAAAAGGTTTGGTACAGGCTTTTATTTTACATAACATTAGCAAACTTATAGAAGGCCACTTCTGGAGTGTGGGAAAATTTAATCTTCTACTTTATACACATGTAAAAATGCTAGTCCTTTAAATTATTGGAGAATTTGCTCATCTTCTGTAGAAGGTATTCATGCTTTTGAAATCAGGTAATATCAAGGACTTTTGGAATCTATTTGCAATTAATGTAATGGCTCAGGATATAGAACAAAACCAGATATATTTCTTTCAAAAAGATCATAATTGGAATAACAGTAAAACCTGAAATTTTTATAAGTTCTTTGGAGTTTCTCATTAGGAAACATATAAAATGTTAGTTCAATACAATTGGTAACCTATATAAAAGGTCCAATAGTTCAAAAATACTCCTGTTATATGAAATCAACTTCAGAATAACTTTGCCAGTGCTCACTGTTAGGGGAAATGAATGCTGCTTCCCAAAATTTCCGCCATCATGTAGGTGGTGGTCATCAGAGGAGATTTGGGTGGGGGAAGTGATTAGCAAGCACAGCATTTTGAAACATCACTAATACTGTAGTACACAGAATGGAAAACCCTCCAAGCCTTTTTACTTCCTGAAAATAAATTATCCAGGTAAAAATTGATGAATTGTGTCTGGGGAACATTCAAGACAAAATAATAAGTACTAAGTGGATGTTATTCTGATGCTAAGGTAAAGAGTACCTGTGCCTAGTTGATCAAGGTGATGACAAAGATGGAACTCCAGGTGAGCAAACTGGAAGGAAAGGCAAAGAGATGGGACAAACCACGGGGTGAAACAGGAGTCGACTCTGGTACAGGCAGCCAGGGCTGTTGGAGTTACAAGCTGATCACAAGTGCTTTGAGAACCAGATTCACTTGCAGAGCTATGGGAAATAAGTAATAAAAAGTTCAATAACCTAAATTTCCAAATATCATGTAAGTGAAATGTTTTTCTATAAGGGTCTTTAAAGCTAGCACCTATAATCCTATAGTCAATATGTTATCATCAAACCTTTTGTATTTACTCACATAAGCTAGTTGTTTTTAAAAATGCAGTTGATGTTGATTATTCCTTGTGAGTTATTAGCAGAAACATTTCAAAGCCCTCCTCAAACTCCAGGCCACATTGACCTGTAATTCAATTTTCTTCCATCCACATGTCACATAACTTAGGGGCAATTTGTTTTCATATTAGTTTAAGACCAACACAATTCAGAGTACGACTCTGGTGTTCAACAAACCCAGTACTTTCAGTGTCACTATAAATGTTTCACTTTTGTTTTACTTCTCCAGATTGTCTATATCCATAGTCCCACATGAATTAGTCAATACTTTTTATTGTACACCAATGAAAACTATACTAGGTGCCATAAAAGTTATGACTATGTCAGAAGAACCAAGGTTCCATGGACAATTACCCTGCATGGGTCCTCTCTTCACTTGCCCATCACCTAACACCATTTTATACAAGTAAAATGTGATTACAAGGAATACTGAAGGCATCTATAGGAGGGAAGATGTTTGTACATGGTGGTGGCTGGTGTCCATGGAAAACACACTGCCTAGCTGCCTTGCCTTGGTGCTAGTAGAAGCGTAATAGCTGGGGATTGGGAGGGGGCAAGGTTTATCCTGGTAATGATGGATACTGAATTGATGCTGCCCTATTCCCTTTCACCATCTTCAAACCTCTTATTTCCAAATCTAAAATTTGCTTTGCAGCTATAGTAGCCTGGCTCCCAAATCTATGAAGAGCCTAGAGGAGAAACACCATGATTTACAGTATCCTAGGGAGAACCATGACAGGAAAAACTAAAGGAATAAATCCTTGGTTCTCAAAGAACTCACAGTCTAACTGGTGATGTAAAATATGTAGACATTTAGAAACATTACAAAACAGAACAACCACCCAGGAATAGGAAAGTCAGAAGTGCTGCCAGAGTGAAAATGTAAGAGGAACTCGGAATGGTGCACTGTGAATCGCGTAGAATTCTCAGTGTGAATCTTCAGCTAAGGTCTGAAAGAGGTTGTAGAAAGGCTGGTGAAAATGAAAGCTAATTCCAACGTGTTTATTGAGTGTTTAACTTCAAGGAGGTTCTCATTATGTGGTGGTATTTACGGCAATGTTAGTAAATCTCCATTGCATACAAAGAAAACACAAACTCTGGGGTCCTATGTTATTGACTAAGTGCTATGTGCAAAAATGCAGCTAAGTATACTCTTAAAACTTTCTATAAAAAGGCACAATAATACAAATAGCTTTCTAGGAATTTATCTGTAGAGTTACAAATAAAATGCTTCATTGGCAAGGTAAAATTAAAACCTATTTATTCAGAAAGAGCAAATGTGTTAGTTGTACATGTGGTTTACACATATGAACTCTTTCCGCATGTTACTTTAAGAAGTTGTTAGAAGTAGGGTACAATGTTAGTTAAACATTAAAATCCAGGTGAGAGTTCTATGAGAAACAGTGAGTACACAATTTGAGGTTTATCTGAAACATTTTTCTTGCCAACTACAATTTTGACACTCTTGAGATTGTCCATGATTTATTTTTCTATCTCTTGAGAGTAGCAGATACTATAATGTATTGGAAAAGGTTGCTAAAACATCATGAGTATATGCCACCATCTTTATGTATAACAAATTGATTAATTCTTCACTTTTCTGAAGTTGAATGCACAAATCAATGGTATATGTATATACCAGGAATATATCTATCTATCTATATTCCTAACATACTCCAGTGGTCAGCACCATCTCATTTATTCTTGAAATCATGACTAAAATGGTTACTAGATTAACCTACATTTAAAAATGTAGACTTTTGCTTAAAAATTTGTCAATTAATGTGGCATATATAATCTGAATGTGCTTTAACTGTATCTTGAATCAATAAAATTATAGTTCTTTGGTACTCAACTTGATCATTATATACCGTAAAAGTAGCATATACATATTTACTTTTTACACAGGGATTACAAAGATCTAAGTGTAATAGAACTAAATATTCATAAATATGAGAGTGATGACCCTGCTAAGCACACTTATAGCAACTACATTTGTATAATTGCCTTAATTAAGTACAATGGACTTGATGTGATCCAGATCTCAAAAGGAAAACCTTAACTTATGAGATAAGTAATAAGCAGAAATAGAGAGGAAAGTAAAAATGGCTCCAAGGAGCAGGATCTCTCAAATAATATAATACATAGAACTCAAGATTCAGCAGTTAATTCAAATATCAATACATTCCTAATGGCAACTCAAATTTTAGAACAGTGGAAATATTCTAAACAGTAGAAAGTATGGAAGGAGTTTTACATATTAATACCTTCTTCTTAGTCAAAGGCTTACTTATCAACTGTTTGTCCTGGGTGACCTATAGAGGGGTATCAACTCCATAAGTCTAGATCATGTTTGATCCAGACGCACTGTGGGGACCCAGGCATAATTCTCAAAGAGTCACCCCTGGATGTCACTCAGGGTGAATCCCTTTAGCACTGTAGGTACTCAACAATGATCTGACTTCACTGAAGAAGGCTTGAGCTTTTCTCTGGATCCTTCTTGGGATATAAGGGTCTTACAATACAGCATCATACGGCATGGAGATTAAGAAGAGAATGACTAGGGTGAGAGAACTTAGATAAAAATGCTTACACTGCTATCACTTATACTGTAATCTTGGGCAAGTTGTTTCACCTGGCTAAATGTCAGTTTTCTCGTTTGTAAAGTGAGTCTACTTATGGGAATTACTTTTTGAGTATTAAATGAGATACTGCATACAAAATGCTTAGCATAATGTCTAGCACTCCATAATAGAAAAAAACAAAAACCCATCCCTCCTTTTCTGGCTGGCAAACAGGGTACCATACTGGGCACTCAGTTTAACATTAATTGTTGGTGATTGCCATTAGTTCCTCAGAGGGATCTCACAATATCATACTGAAACTCATCTCAACGTGGCTTCTCTCTCATACACTGGTTCACTTACACCTTCTCCTGGCTACTGCAAAAACACTGCTCTGTGCGTCTGGGGAGAGCACTGCATGGCTGAGAGGAGACAGGGAGGATGTGTGTTTTAAAATTTAAAATTTAAAAAATAAGAAATACGCACTTTTATTGTAACTTATTACACATTAAAATGAAGGAGGGGGTGGGAGGTTTACCAAAAATATAATACGCTCTGGGGCCGGTCGAGTGGCGCAATGGTTAAGAACTGGCTTGGGACGCCAGAGGGCCCTGGTTCGGATCCCACATATGAGGGCCAGTGACACTGCCCTCTACAGCTAAGATGCTGAACAACAGCTCAACTTGGAGCTGGGCTGCCGTGAGTCGCCAGCGACGGTGTAGGCTGCAGCCCCTGTGGCAGTGGGTTGCCATGGGCTACCATATGTAGCCAGCAGCCAGCGTGAGCTGCCAGCAGCCCCAGTGAGCAGCCGTCCAGAAGCCAGCGACTGATCTGCCTCGCCCAGGAAGAGCGCAATGATGGTGCCAACTTGGGCCAGTGAAGCAACATCCTCCACAACTAGACTGAAGAACAAAACGACAGCAACTTGTCTGTTCCCCTTTCCCCAATTCCCCAATAAAAAATCTTAAAAAATATATATATATATACATAATACGCTCTGATATATTTTGAAATACACTCTGCCATTTTCTGAATATTGTGGTAAGATATACGTAACATAAAAATTACTATTTTAACCATTTAAAACTATATAGTTCAGTGAATTAAGTACATTCACATTGATGTGCAACTATCAACTCCATCCACCTCCAGAATTTTTTCATCTTTCCAAACTGAAACTGCTATCCATTAAACAACAATTCCCGATTTCCCCTCTCCCTCATCCCTTGGAAACCACCATTCTACTTTGTCTCTATAAATTTGACTATTCGTGGTACCTCATATACATGTAATTAAGAAATATTTGTCCTTTTCACATTGATATTTTCTATTTTATTAAAAAAAATGATTGCAATCTGCTAAACTGATTTCATGACCCACTAATGGGTTGCAATCTGTGGCTTAAAAAACAAGCTCAAACAGGCCCTCAAGTAAAGGACTCTTTTATATGTACTGACTATAAAAAAGTGTGTGTGTGTGTGTGTGTGTGTGTGTGTGTGAGAGAGAGAGAGAGAGAGAGAGAGAGAGAGAGAGAGAGAGAGATCTCTCCCAAGGTTCAGAGAATCAGCACCATGACACAGAAACTTCGTCAAGACCATCAGCCTAGAACTTTAGGTGAGAAACGGGGAACACTGAGTACTTTGGGGAATGTGTATGGGGAGAAGGACTGCCTGACAAAAGACCAACTCCTTGGAGGGGTTGTTACATAGAGTTCAACCACCAACTAATAGGAAATATTAAAGGGCTTCAAAAAGATGCTAGAGTAAAACATAAGCATTCCTTCTACCCAAGGGAGAAAAGGCAAAAAACACATTTAGCCCTAGGAAAGAATTTCCTGGATAAATCCTGGATTATATCATTGTATGACTACAAACATAGTTGACAAAGCAGTTCCAAATGTCAAAATTTATGTCTGAATGGTTTATAAAAGTAAAAAGATTTAAAAAAATGGTACCCAACAAATTTAGGTATACCTAAAAGTGCAGATCCTGGGAGCCAAATGGAGGGCAACAATATCCGGAGGCCACAGTCACCTTCTCGTAGGAGAAAGTGCAACCAGTGGAGAGAAAAGAAATGATCCAGCGCCTTTACCATCAAAACTCTCTTTCTCTGATTCCTCCGGTGTCTATATATGCAAGAATCAAGGCTTTGGAAAATGGAAAGCATTCTCTCTCTCGCTCTCTCTCTCTCTCTCTCTCACACACACACACACACACACACACACACACACACACACAAGCTGGGACCACTGTCTGAAAGACTACCAAATATGAATGGACAGTGGGATCTTTAGGGAGGAGAAAATCTCTTTTTTTTTTTTTGACACATCCAAAGATGAAAGTATCCCCAAAACGTCACCAGAGTTTCAATTTACATTGCATGAAGAGAGAGTCACATATCCTAAGCCATTTCCCTTTCCAAGATGCCTTCTTCCATGAACCAGTGTTTTGTGGGGTGAGGATAAAAAGTCCTTGTAAGCAATCTGCTCTCACATGTTTCAATATAAGAAAATGACCATGCAGTATGGACAACAAACCACCAAAGACTTGGCACAGGTAAACAGTTTAGCATTATCATCAAGCAACTTATATGTTAGGATCTGCAGTTACTGTTGTGCTACATGATGATTGCCTGTACTTTGTGTGACGACATATCACATACTTCTGGAGTTAGCCATTTGAGGTGAGGCTAAGAGGGGAAAAAAGTTGAAAGCTGTTCTGGTCCATCAGAAGACATCTGACTGATGCCAAACCCAGGGAACCGGCAAGGTGGCCCAAAGCCCGCGAGTTGGGCCACCACTTTCGATTTCCCTTGTTTCCCTCCTAGGGCCAGTCACTGGGAGAGAAACTGTCAATTCCAAACAGAGCGTGTGCTTGCTCGCTATGTTCTGTTTGCTCACTAGACTCATTTTCTACCCTTCCCCAACCTCTTCTTTGCTCCTGGACTATATCAAAGAGCTGCTTTGTCCTCTGGTTTGTCCTTTGGTTCAGCCAGTGGGAGGTGCCCAAGGAGATTAGAAAGTAGGAGGAGAGGAGGGTGAGGGCTGTATTTCCCTGATTCCTTCTTGGCTGTATCTCCATACGTTGCTGTGTCCCTCTGTCCAAAGCAGCTGCAAACACCTGCTTGGAGTTACTTTTTAGTAATGGCTCCATCACCTGGCTCCTCCAGGCCTAAGAGAGCTATGGTTCCCCAGGGTTCTGAGCCCCATTGCTTAACCCTGCCCACACTTTGGTAAATAGTCCTTTTATTAAACTCTCTACAATCACCCAGTATGAGTGTGCCATCTGTTTCTTGTCAGGACCTAACTGATAAAGGGGGTTTATTTAGGCTTTGTCATGGGTGTGTAGGCAAATACATACATGATGAGATTAAAGATAAATAGCTGAAATGGATATCTGGTCAGGGCTTAAAGGCTGTATCTCTTGCCTCCAGGCCAGTGCACAGCACACTGAAGTCAATACTACTGTGGAAACTAAGTTTAAAGTTACTCTTCTTCAAATGTTAAGGTAAAACAATAAATAATCATTACCAATCACTTATTTTCCTATGATCAAGAAAGCCATTAGTTAAAGAAAGTGGGATGTAATTATTACAAATATAGTGATTGAATGACAAATAATATACCCATATGGGATAAACAGACAAGGGTTTAAGAGATTCAATCTTTTGTCTCCAGTCGTTTGTAGAAGTCTACCTGCAACCCCTTGGACTGATTAGCTCCTTCTTATTCATTACTTAAATCCCCAGTTTAGGAATCAGTTTCTCAAGGTCAAATGGCTGATTGGTGATAGAGCCAAGACTTAAACCCGGGTCTTCTAACTTGAAATTATTAAGTAGTGATTCTATTTACATACATATAGTGATGCCATTACCACTGAGCTGCCCTACACTGTTGCAACTTTATGACACTTGCGGACAACATGACTTCTATGTTTTTAATGATTAAGCTTCATCCGAGTTATTTTTATGAACTTTCTTCCAGTAATGTACAACGGTCTGATGCATATCCTTCTCAAATCACTGAAAGTATTACTTACGATAAGATAATCTCTAATCGTAAAAGTGTCATGTTTTTGTCCAGTTCTAGTTTCTTGTGACAGACTATTCGGAAACTAACTGTAGTAGTTTCCTTTTGCATGATGTGTTGACATCAAAGTACTGGTGTTTTATTTCTAGAAACTGGATGAAATTTATTTAATGTCCATTTTGAAATGTCTTAATAGCATTTTATTATGTTGAGATTTAAATCAACTCTTTAAATTTAATTTCATTAATATCAATTTCTACCTAAAAAATGGTTAATATCAAACAATTTAGAGTAAGAGAAATTGGGAATATTAGGTAAGTTGAAAAATCCCAGGTGAGGACAAAAGATCTGTGCTTACAATGTCAAAAGCTTGGTGAAAAATTGCCTGAATTTGCATAAATTTCCATTCCCTAAAGTTTCCACAGTTCTGTAGTGCTAAGCTTTGCACAAAAGTAATTTTTATGACTGTTTCAGATTCAGAGGCATTAACCTTGTCTAAAATGCTTCTTTCAATGATTACAATGCATTCTTTCATAATTAGAACCAAGAAATTATTTCTAACTTGATACTATTAATGAAATTCAGATTTTTAAAAATCAATTTCATTACCCATAGCTCTATTTTCTGAGGTTTCCTGGTTTCTGACTAGGTAACCTTTACTTAGATTAGGCAATCTTTCTATCTATCTGCTAACTTCTCATAGGATGGGTGTTCTTTTCACTGCTGCATTACACATATGCGTAGGTAAAATCAAGATCGCACTCCTCTAATACACTCACTAGTTTTATATTACTAGGTAACAGACTAGGAAGGTCATTATTTTTGAAGACCCCAAATGACCTAGAAATAAAATAAAGTATAAAACATATTATTATGAAGCATACAAAATAATTAATGAAAAACACTGTGGGACTTCAGATTAAAACGTTAATAGAGGTTATCTCACTGTGATATGATTACACATGGTGTTATTTTCCTTATTTCCCAAATGTTCTTCAATGAACATAATTATTATTAATAAGAAAGAGAAAAACCATTCACAACTATATATAATATAAAGTAGCAATCAGACTATCAAATGGTGTGCTATAATTATAACCTTGTAAAGGCATATAATAATGGCCAAAAGTAAAGGTAACAGAAAAGAGAAAACAGTTGATTTACATGGTTTTGGAATGGTGGAGTCTTTTTCTCTGTGTTAGTGTCATATGTTGTTTGGAAAGGGGGGAAAAAAGGAAGGGATTATATAAAAGGAGTAAGATAATGCTAAAGCGAATTCATCAGAATTGGAAGGCAGAACACTGAAAGGCCCACAGTACACATAATATATGATCCAAGAAAACAATTCCACTGATTGTGATGTAGTCTCTTTTTTTCTTTCATGGGAGAATGGAAAGAAAGTGGTGAAAAATAAGTTGTTGAAACCATTCTTTCTTTAAGTTAGTGGGTGTATTAAGCAGGCAAACATTGGAAATGAAGATAATCTGGCCCTTCTTTGCCACTAACCAGATATCCTGCAGAAGATGTGAAACACGAAGTTCTGGGTACATGATTCGGAATACCTGGGGTGTAAGAGATTCATTATGTCCAAATGGATTCTAGAGCTGGATAAAACTTTGGCTATCTGAAATCCTTTAGGTATAAGTTATTTTGGTTAGCCAAATTTTTCTAATGTCTGGAGGTTTATCTTTCAAAGTTATTTTTAAAACCACTTAAGAAGGAACCATTTCCAAAATGTATCTTTTTTCAAGGAGACAGTTCAATTTATTTAGCCTTTCTTTCAATTCTCCAGGGTTATCATTACACATAGTGATTACTATATCATTAAGAATCTATTGAGGTATGTATGGCTCTTTTCCGCTTTTTTTTTTTTTTGTTCAGAGTGACTGGATAGTTTGCTTTCTGCAATTTTTAAGAAAGAGGTTCTTAGTGAGGGCTTACAGGACCGCAATATCAGTAAAACACAGGATTTTTATATAGACTTTGAAACATCAGCTTCTGTCTTGCTTCCTGGCTCTCATCAATAGTTCAGACAGATGCAGCTGCTAAACAGCCGAGATACAGCCAAATGAGGGGTCGCTAGGTAAGATAACTTGATGACTGCTTCCTAGTACAATGTCACTAATTCATTTTTCACTGAGTTACCTTTGGTCATCAGCTCCGTTTTGACTGCTGTTCAAGACAATTCTCCAAAGATCCGAAGATACCAGTTTCTTCTGGTCACTCACAAGATTGATATCTGGCAACTGCAGTTCACAAACTTTGCTTTCAGACAGACTAAATTCTCGAAATGCAACAAAAACCTTCTGGAGTTCATCCCAGTATTCCAAACTACACGGAATCTATATTAAAATAAAAAATATTTCAGAGATTGCAAATAGAAATGCTTCCATTTTGTTGAAATCCAAATTAAACCTATATCAGTTATAACATTAATAACTTTTTCAGAGGGATAAGGTTGAAAACGACAGTAGTTTAGAATTTCTCTAGAACAAATACTTATATTCATCCAGTTTACCTATTTTATTTATTTATTTAATTGTGAAATAAACATTTTTTTAAATTAGTTTCAGCTGTATACCTATTTTATTTTAAAGACCCATTCAGGAATAATATGTGAAAACAGCCAAGAAAGTTTTTAAATAAAAGAGAAAATAGAGAACAAATTCTAGCTGTTAAGTGTAAGTGTATTATAAAGTTATAGTAATTAAAAGATAAAGTTGGAGGGCCAGCCGAGTGGCTTGTTGGTTAAGAGTTGGCTTGGGAGCGTGAGCTCTTAGCAGCAGGGCCCTGGTTCGGATCCCACATAGGCCAGTGATGCTGCACCCTCTACAGCTAAGATGGTGAACAACAGCTCGACATGGAGCTGGGCTGCCGTGAGTCGCTGGCGATGGCATTGGCTGCAGTGGGCTGCCATAAGCTACCATGAGTGGCCGGCAGCCAGCGTGAGTGGCCGGCTGCTGGCAGCCAGCAAGAGCTGCCGTGAGACCCCGCAGTGGTAGTCCAATGGCCAGCGAGCGACTGCCTTACCCGGAAAGAGCACAATGATCACAATACCAACATGAGCCAGTGAAGCAGCGTCCTCCACAACAAGACTAAAGAACAAAAGGACAGCAACTTGTCTGTTCCCCTTCCCTGATTCCCCAACACTGTTCTTTCCCTCTGTTCCCCAATAAAATTTCCAAAAAATAAAAAAGATAAAGTTGGAGTAGTATACAAATAGATGAAATAATAGAATAAAAATAGTATAAGATGTAAATACAGATACATTTTAGTATGTGATGAAGGTGCCAAGTCAAACAAGTAGGGGAAAGATGGGAAATGAGGTTGCAAGAACTGGCTAGCCATTGGGTAAAACCAAAGTAGGTCTCTACACCATTCCTGTATGAAAGTAAATTCCAAAAGGATCAAAACGTTAAAAGCTAAAAACTGAAAGCATAAGAGAAAAAAATCAGTTGATATTTTTATCACAGTAGGGCAGGCATCCTTTTCTATGTATGGCATGAAACTCATGGATGTAAAAAAACCCAAAACCCCACCACCATTGATAAAATTGAATTAAAAAATAACAAACAAGGATAAGATAGATAATAGTCAATGATAGATTTAGGAATAATTGTGACAACAGAGAGCTTTTATAAGTCAATGAGAAAATGATAAGTAAATAACATATAGAAAAGTAAGTAAAGGCAGTTGTTGGAAGGCGCAATTAGCTAGGGGCCTTGAACGTCCCTGCATGTTCTTACTAGGTACGCAAAGGGTGCACGGCCCTCAAAACTGTTAACTGGGGCCACTTCTTAGGTTGTGTTTGCAGAGAGAAGTCTTAAGGGATAAGGTAGTCTCTCTTCAGGACAAAGAGTAGACTTGCTCTAAAAGAGGTCGATTTGACAAACTCTATGTTTCTCAGCTGTGTCACATATCTCCTTCATGCATAGCATTCCCCTAGATGCCCTTCTGCAATTGCTCTCTTCGGACTTGGAGGCAAGAAAGAGAAACCAACGCCAAAATGATGTTCATGCTGCTAGCCATGACATGAGCAACAATGTTCTTTGTTTCTGACCCAAGAATCTTATGTCTTCTGCCAGCATCCATCAAACACTGACAGGCTAATTAATTAGCTTGCATAGGTAAAAATCCCAGACTCTGAAAGCAAGTAGTTCACAGAAGAAATATAACCATGAAAATATACTCAACTTCACTAGTTAAAGAAATTCAAGTTAAAGTAATAATGTAATATTTTTATTTATTATTCAGGCAGTTTTAAAAGACTGAGTTTCCATTTCTGTAGAGGTGTGGGAAAATGCATTTCTACAGAATATTTTTGGAGGGTAATTTGGCAACATCTATTAAATATTTGGAAATATACATCTAAGAATTTGTTTTACAGAGATTCCAAAGCATGTGCACGTGTGCGTACGGGTGTATTAACTTCAGTAATGTGTTAATATTAGTAAGAAATTGGTAACAATTCAAATATCCATCAACAGGGAGTAAATATGACATAAAGGTCTATTAAACATATGTGTGTGTGTGTGTGTGTGTGTGTGTGTGTGTGTGTATATATATATATATATGCTTGAAGTTACTCTACTCTCTATAGAACATGTAATCAATGAATTATAACCACTAAAATGAATAAGGAATATTTATATATACTAATACAAAAAACATCCAAGATATATTACTAACTTAAAAAAATTAAGTTTTAAGATAGAACATGTGGGTTGATCCCATTTATCTTAGAAAAAAAAAGAGTGGGATCAGATGTGTCTCCTCTTTTGGAAGTATTCCCTAATTACGTACTATCCTCAGAACTGATCACTGCTTCTCTTACGTCACTTTTATATTTAAAATACTCCCCTATCATAGAACTCATTACACTTTGCAATTCCTTATTTACATCTTTGTCTCTAGTTGACTCTGAGATCCTTGAGGAAAAAAATGGCAAATTATTAAAAAAAATACTCAGCATTTAACGGTTTTGGGGACATAATTGGATCTTAATAAAAGCTTCCTGAATGAATACATTTCTCCTTAACCTTCTTTCCTAAGTAAGTGATTCTTAATCTTTTAATGGGAATAATTTTACCTCCACCTACAACAAAGTTTCTTTTCTTTAAACAGGAACTTGAGCATTCATGTATGGAGAGATGCTAGATGGAAGAAAGAACAAAATGGCTACACATAAGAGGCTAACAATGTGATGAAACAGAGCCATATGTTCTGGTCAGCAATAAGGACAAGTAACATATCCAGAGTATTCTGCTTTTAGCCTCCGTTTCTTAAAATTCTCTCTTTTCTTGCTTTCCATGACACACTTTTCTCTAACTTTCCCCTCTCTGGGTCTTTGTTCCCATATACTCTCTCAGCCTGAAATGCCCCTGGACTCCCAAGTTTCTCATTGTCTCAAGGTTAAATCCTTTCCATCCATCAAGGTTCAAATGAAATACCACCTTCTTTTAGCCTTTTCACCTCCAGATGGAAATATTCTCTCCCTTTTCTGAACAGCAATATTTTTTTTAGCTCTTATCACTGTATACCTCATGTTACAGTTATTTCTATACATGACATCTTCTCTGGTAGACACATTCCTTGAGGGAATGATTTCCATTTGGCTAAGCTTTGGATTTTCACAGCACCTGGAAAATATATATAGTGAATGTTCAAAAAATGTTGTTGAATGAATGAATGAATGAATAATTCATGAATGAATGAATGGGTGAATCACACACTGGGAGACTCAGCCCATGTCTGACACATTAAAAATTCTCCACAAAAAAGTATAGAAGATGAAAGCATAAACTTTGGAGTCAAACCTAATGGGATTCAAATACTAGGTCCTTGGGTAAATTAATTTTTTAAACATCTGTTCCCATATCTTTAAAAAGGGGATAATAACAGAGCTACTCTCATGAATTACTGTGGGGATTAAATGAGACAAAGCATCTCATTTAATACTACATAGTAAAAGCTTAAGAAATGTTAGCTACAAATTATTTATGTTTTGCATGCTCAAAGAACACTTTTTAAGTGTAGGTGTTATCAGAATTAGGTAGGTTATAATTAGGAGTCCTGTTTGTTAGATTTCTTAACAATGGGTTGGACTTGGAAGGAAATAATAAACCTTGAACCCCAGATGTTCATGAACATTGTAATCATAGGTCAACAGTTTTCTGCTGCACACATATTACTTGAGAAATAAAGGAATATTTCATTGCTTAACTCCTTCCTGGACTCCCAGTGACTGCCAGTGAGTTAGTCCTTTGGCTTAGGATACTCATAACCAGAAGTAGATTGATGTGGGAAGTGGGATAAGACATATGTATAAGAATACAAGAATCTCAGATGTGGATTAGGTAAATGCTGTGCTCACATCCTCTCACAACCACATCAAAATTACAGTTAAACTACAGAACAACCATCATTTAGAATCACCTGAAATCTAGCTTAATAGAAGCCCTACAATTAAGGATATACAAAAGAAGCCACGGTGAGACTGGTAGGAGGCTGGTGGACACATGGAACAGGCTGGTCCCACACCCACTTGTGGTAGCTAAAAATTGGGAGGGCTATCTCAGCTGCAGAGGTTCCCTCTGATGAATGCAAGGTCCCAGCCCCACACCAGGCTCCCCAGCCCAGGGTTCCAGGAAGAGAAGTCCCCACAACTTCTGGCTGTGAAAACCAGTGGAGATTGTGGCTGAGTGAGGCAGAGGGCTGCTGGAGCCCCAAGAGTTCCTCTTAAAGGGACAGCACCTGGACTTACTCACTGGTGGACTCGTTCTAAGCTCCAGCACTGGGGACGCAGCCCAAAAGGTGCCAGGGACTTAAACAGAACTGAATTGTCCGGGTTCAGGGTAAGGGATAGAGGTGCAGTTTTCTCCCAGATAGAAATGCTGGCAGAAGCCACTGTTCCTTTATTGAACCCTCCCCCCACCCAGCAGAGTGTGGACACAGGTGGCCTCCATATCTGAGTCTCCATCAACCTAACTAACACCATTCATCCCACCCTGGTGATTCCTTGACACCTTACCCCACCCAACTTGCAGGCCCACCCAAGCCACTTCCAGTGAATTTTCCATACAAACAGCTTGTTTTGGCTCATTCTGGGGAATTTCCTAAAATCTCTTAAAGTTTCACAAACCTCAAACAAGCAGCATCTGGCCTCAGTGTGCCCTGTACCTCTTGCTGAGCAGCCCAAACCCAGCACTGGCAGCAGCCAGCCTCAGTTTGTAGCTCAGCCTCTCCCTGGTATCTGTAAGCTCAGCACAAGTGACAACCATCTGTGGATCACTTTGTAGCTCATACCAACTGGTCCTGGGCTGGGCACAGGCAGCAGCTGACC